CAAATTGTACCCCTTTTCAAATATTTGCAGAATAAAACCTGTTTTATTGGTTTCCACCTAGACAGCTTTCTTACAGAAAATGATTATTTGCTGTTTTATATATGTTGTATCATATTTTTCATAAGGTTTTCTTTATCCGACAATGATTTAATTTACATCATCTTTTAAGTTAAGACAATTAAAACTAAGAACCCACACCATATGATCTTACAATTTATTTAATACGTTGACTTCAGAGAGCTCAAATACCTTTGATCTATTTGTTTCATGGTGTTAGTTGGCTTAACCTTTTTAGATTTCTCCAAACAAAATAACTTGAGCTGCAGCAAGCTGTTTGCCAGAGATCTGAACTCTGAAAAGAAAGAAAGAAAGAAAAATAAACCTCTGGACTCCTTAGGTATATAGGAGAAAATGTATTTACTCTTCTGTTTGCTTGTTGGGCTCATGTTCTTGCTTTCTTTCTTATTATGCCAATGTGCTGTGCCAATGCTATCCTTAGATTATGCTCCTATACCAATGCTACAGCTTTATATATGGGGATATGGGAAAATAAGAATACTATTTTTAAAGAAAAAAATTGTAAAGGTTAGTTTCAGATCGAAACAGAGATTCCTGCCCATGCTTTGCATTTCATCTATGGGGAAATTCCAACGAAGTTAATAGTAGTTGTACAAAAGAATTTCCTGTATGCAGAACAATATGACTCTTTAGCCCAATCACTTTAACATATTGCTTTTTCCACTTTGACATGTCATTGATACTTACAAAATAGCAAGAAATGGAAAACCATCATCCATTCACTAGGTGGTACATCTAGGGACAAAGAATATGTACTATACTTACAGGATAGAGGACTCCAGCCTTAGGAGCAGTGACGCAGAAAGGGACTTGGGGTCATGGTGAATAATCAATGAACATGAGCTCCCAGTATAAGGCTTGTGAAAAGTGGACCCTTCGTCCTTCGGGTTGGTCTGGTCCGTAAAGTTCCCCTCCACTTGACCAACATGCTCACTTCCCGCGTTACACCCGCCGAGCTCGCCTGCCACGTCTTTGATGATGCTCTGGTTCAGTTTTGTCGTCTGGCGCATGCACGTCCGAAAGTGGCACCTTGTGTCTGCCGGGCCCCGGGGATGCAGAGGGCTCCTCCACCCCTACACCCTCGCCCTTGCCTCCGATTTCAGGGTCCCCGCTGGCCCCGAATAGTCCTCAGTTCGATAGTTTCATAGTTTCATAGATTTAGGGTCAGAAGGGACCTAGTAGATCTTCTAGCCCAACCCCCCGCCAGGGCGGGAGAACAACAAAACCCCAAAACAAAAACGGGACTCAAATGAGTCCAGCCAGGTAGGCATCCAGCCTCTTCTTAAAGACCCCCAGGGTAGGGGCCAGCACCACTTCCCTT